AAAAAAAAAGGAGGAGGAGGATACTGCAACGGGTCATTATGTGTTATTGGGAAAGGTGCCATTCTTCCCTCTAGGTGCCTCGATTTATAGATGCCCTGTATTCTACTTATGGATAATACAACACCAGTTGAAAACATACACCATATCTGAGAGGACAACACCTGTATTTCAAGGTATAGTATCCAGCTAGGTCATCATGGAAGTTCAACAGACCATTCCACACCTTTCCAGGGCTATCTTCTTTTAGGTAATGGGAAATGCGAATAGGTCAGCAAATCTTATGATTGACCAAAATGCTTGATCCCAAAAAGACCATTTCCTGGGGCTGGAGATGTGGCTCAAATGGTAGCACGCTCACCTGGCATGCGTGGGGCACTGGGTTCGATCCTCAGCACCATATAAAAATAAAATAGATATTGTGTCCACCTCAAACTAAAAAAATATTTTTAAAAAGACCATTTCCTGGGACAAGTTCTATGTTCTGCACCTGCCAGAGTTAAGTGCCCATAACACTTTTGCTTTCTCTGCAGCCCGCCCTGCGGTAACTCGCTCACGGGCGCGGGGCCCTCATCGGGGCGAGAGCCCACACACACACACGCCTGCGGGCCCGGGGGCGGGAGACCCGGGAGACACGGACACTGGTGGGTGTTGGGTGTAATTAGCGCAGGCCGCGCGCAATGGAGCAAGCGAGGGGGAAGGGGAGAAGAGGAGAGCGAGCGAGGTGAGGTTAAAAAAAAGGGGGGGATTTTAGGGAGAGAGGGAACGGGCCGCGGAGACCGGCCGACTGTCTGCCTGCCCGCCCTAGGTTCCCCGGCTTCCCGGCCCCCGCCGCAGTCAGGAATTCACACAAAATGGCGATACTGCCGGGACGAGCCCAGAGACTGAGGCGGGAGGAAGGGCGAGGAGGGAGGGGGAACTGAGAGGCGGAGGCCCAGGCCGCGTCACGCGGAGTAGGGGGCAGAGACTGCTTGCCCGAAGGCCGCCGGAAAGAGTCGAAGGGAAAGGGCGAGGCCGAGGGGAGGCGGAAAAAGCCGAAAGCACATGAGAAAGAAACAGGGGGCCGTGATGAGCCAGAAAAAGCCGAAAGTAGTCTCTGCTACCAAAGCACGTGAAATCGAGGCGAGACGGAAAGAGCCGAATGTGAGGATGGCGGTGGGACTTGAGAGAAAACGGGGAACCGGAAACTGCCGAACAGGATCGAGGCTCGGGAAGTGCCAGGAACTGAGAGAATCCGGAAAGGGCCGAAGACAGTGTAAGGATAGGCGATGGGAGACGGAAACAGCCGAAAGAGACGGAGCCGGGTAATGGGGTTAAAAGAATTGACAGGAGTAGGACTGGAGAGGAGATTAATTGAGAGTAAATGATTTTGAGGAACTCGTCCCGGAGCAAGCGGGAAGAATCGAAAATTGTTAGATTAAAGGAAGGCATGAAGAGTCGAAAGTTTTTAGGTGAGAAAATTGAAGGAAAAAAAAAAATAACCGAAAGCTGGAGGCCTGTCCCTGGAGTCGGAGGTTTCCGGAGAAAGGGCGGGTGCAAAGCCGGCCCGGAGATGACGTCACTGGCTAACTCGATCGATGACGTCATCCTTGGGTGGGGACGATGCCTGGAAGTGCCTTCAAAATTGAAACCTTGAACTAGTAGATAAGCCATTTATAAACACAATCTTTGATCTTCCCAACCATCGTAAGGAGAACTGCTATTATCCCCATTTTGTAGATGAAACCTAAATTGGCTCAATGTCATAAGAACACAGCAAGTCGGGGCTAGATTCCGTTGCCTCCTGCAAAAGTGTTCAGTCCTATTTCCATACAGGGATTTTCGTTCAGTATCTATCAGCTCTTTCTACAGTGTCAGCCGCTGTGCTGGGCAATGGTTTCTTTATAGAACTTAGTAACTAACCGATAATGTCCCAGGGGAAGGAACTGGTCACCAAATAATAAAGGGAGTGGCATCAGGGAACCCTCAGGATGACTGGAACATGAAAGAGTGGAGAAGGTTTCAGGCCAAGAAAACTGCTTATTCCAGGCCTTGAGGAGGTAAGGATCAACTTCCAGGAACAGAGAGAAAACCCTTGTGGCATGATTGATAAGTATGAAGACAGAGGTGCCATGTGACTCCCTGGTATATAGATCCTGATATAAAAGAAAGAAAATTCCCAAATCTGTTCTGGGTCTCAAGCTTTTGGGAGCTGTAATTTACAACCTCCTTCAGGGATAAAAGTAGAATTCTTGATAAAATGCTTAAACTTGTAAGGGATGATACTTGTTCTAAGAAACTGATGGCCCACCACCCGATGGCTGACAGCCAGCCAGTCTTCTGCATCCAGTCCCTAATCTAATGATGTTTATCTTTATTCCCTACTCCTATAAAATGTCCTTACAAGAGCAAATCTTTTAATTGAAGTACAAGGTACAAAGGAACCTTTTCCTTGAATGCAAGATTGTAATGAAATTTGCCACCTGCTCATAACTAAGTTCTCCCAAAAAGTCTGTTAAAATGCCAAGAACTAATAGTGCAGGGTTGTGGGAGTGAAAAGAAAGAATACAGGGCCAGGGATGTAGCTCATTATTAGCGTGCTTGCCTGGCACATGAGAGGCCTTGGATTCAATGCCCAGTACAGAGAGAGGGGGGAAAAAAAAA